ATAATATCACATCATAAAAAATTTTACGATAATTATTACAAATAATATTTCAAACAAGCGAAATGCAAGATATGTTTCGTAACTACCAGCAGTGTCATCCAAATTCATAATCTGTCCTCAACTAATCAACTTTCTTGTTTGTAATTCATCTGCCGAATAACCATTTGGTTTTCGAGTCCAAAAGGAGAGATTCAAACGTGATGATGATTACATTCTTCAAGGAAAGAAAGTGAAGGTGACATATAGACACTACTTATCATCATTTCAACCTGACAGATCCTAAAGTCCTTCCCTTCCATTGGGCCGATCACAATTGTTAACTGTGCTCGGGTACGAGTAAAATCAAATTTGATTTCTGGTGGCAACGAGGTGGTCAATCACCTAATCATCAACCCAAGCAGAGAAAAATCCAAATCGTACCGTTAAATAAGCTTATCGTTTTGCAATTTACAATGCCAAGAAAAAGGGCACATCTATGTGTTTTTTTTTTTTTTTTTTGGAGAAATTTTAGTGGCTAAAAATTAACATAACAGATTTTATGCGAACTTCTGATATCGAGGACTTAAAGACTAAGGTCCGTTTGTTTCGGGTGAAAATGTTTTCCAAAAAAATATTTTCCTAATTTTCTGTGTTTGGTTGCACAAAAGTTATTGAAAACATTTTTATATGTAAAATATTTTCACTCATCTTATGGAAAACAACTTCCCTTCCAAACTTACCGAAGTTGTGTTTCCAAAATGCATGCATCCCGCCTGTAGTATGTTCCAAACTTACTGAAAACATCTTGTAGTATGATCTTTTTTTTTTTAGTGTAAACAAGAGGACTCGAACCCAAGACCTCTTCCTTACACTCCCTCCCCCGTACCAACCAACCCAACCCAACCCAACCCTCCCCCTAGTATATTCAAAATTAAAAAAAAAATCTCATCCTGCTCATCCTATACTAGTAATTAATTATGTATAATAGGGACATTCTTTTCTAGAGAAACTTTCAGCAGTGAGAGTGCAAGATATATGTCACAATAAGCATTGCATGTGATTGATATTTGACACTAAATGACCAGCAATTTGTTTATTGCTTAAGGAGATATTTTTTATTCATATATACATTTCTCCAAGATTTTTTTAAGTTAAACAATGAGATAAATTTTCTTATTTTGCATGGGAATAAGTATGTAGTTATAATGTGTAGAAAGTAAAGATAGAGATAAAAATGAAAATATTTCAAAAGTTAAACAAACACCAGAAAAATGAAGTAAGAAAATATTTTCAATAAACTAACCAAACACCTGAAAATGATAAAAGGGAAATGATTTTCATGAAAAATTACTTCTACGAAAAATATTTTACTTCCAACCAAACAGACCCTAAGTGCCTTTATGTTGTAAGGAGCGGTTTTGATTACTATTTTTTGGAGTTTTATATTTGCGTGTCTATACATATATAGATATATATATATATATATATGATAGCGATTTAATATATATATATAAAATAAAAAAATTAAAATTATATATATGCAAAACTTTTAGGTGAAAAAAATCACCAACCGTGGTCCACAACTAGCTAAAGCTACGTGTCTTGATTCTTGAACTATTTGCCCGTGTTTGAGAATTATATGGTGCACGTACGTACCCGCCCTAAGAACAGCTGATAAGGTCACCCTTTAATTACAGCCGCTGGATTCACAAAACGTCACTGAGATGATAATTAGAGAAAAAGCCTAAAAAATCTTAAAAAAAAAAAGAAAAGAAAAGAAAGCAACGGCCTTGGGGGAAGCCACGGAAAGCACAAAGCAGGCCCACCAATTTTGTTTTATCAGTAATTCACTCAAAACAACAACACACTTCCAACTAGTACTGCTTGATTTCCACATTATAAGCTGGAAATTCAACAGATAAATGTCAGATCAAAATTCCACCGGACAAATTAGGCGTATAATGTATCATTTTGAAAGCCATTTTTCATCAACAAATTTTGAACATTTTTCATAAACACATTTTTCTCAACAGAACTTTTTTTTTTAATTACATAAACTTCAAAAAATTACATTTCAAACGGGACTTTTCTTGGACAAAGATGCCAAGTAACGCTACTACTATGGGTGCTGCAGTGGGTATTTTATTTTTCCTTAAACTTCCTCCGCCAAATGTAACAAGTGCGAAATTTATAATGATTTAGTTGGTTAGTGAGGTTTATCCCTCAAAATGTCTTGAGGTAATATCAAATTGGATTTATTTTTTTTAGAGTGTTCTGAATGTGAACCCTACTGTAATCGGGTGGTAGTTGAATTGCTGATCAATGACAGGTCTCAAAAAAAAATTTTTTTTTTTTTCAAAAAATCCGCATTGACCCGATTCACGAGGAAGGAGAGCTCAGTTTCTTTTGTTAGTTATTTCTTCATTTTATAGTCTTCCCAGTTCCCGGTGCTGAAACCAAAGTGCAATAATTGGTGTCTGCTGCCCGCACAACTACAAGCCTGGAAAACGATCTCGTAACCTTTCTTTTACCCTTTTTTTTTTTTTTTTTTTGTCAGAACGGCAATTTTTTTTCCTTTTACCTTCTTCGCTGTGCCAATTTGTGAGGGATAATTTCAAAAAACCTCCATTGAGATTTTTTATACTTTCATAGATATTGGACGAGGTTTTAAAAATTATACTAACCCTTTTTGAATTTGAGGTTTTGGTAATAGAATTAAAAATGTATTTTGATGAGTGATACGAAAATTTTGTTCCACATACGTCCTTTTTTTATTGTCCTCAAGTTGTATTACTAAATAATGAAATAATTAATAAAAGTCAAGGGGAATGAGTGAAATTCGAATAAAATGCAGCATGAACAACTAAAAGCAGCAATGATCTTTGCAACAATTAGTGCATACTTAATGGCAAATGATCTTATTGTAGCAAGCAAGCGAGGTCAAAGTAAAGTATTGATGCATAAAGCATACGAATATTAGTCAACAAATCAACGAGAAAAGCATAAATTAGTTTTGTTTCGATACAAGATTCTACAAAATAAGTCAGATAGAGATTCCTTCTACTTTTCTTGCTCATAAAATTCTTCTATGCAGATCATAACAAATCAACGAGAAAAGCATAAATTAGTTTTGTTTCGATACAAGATTCTACAAAATAAGTCAGATAGAGATTCCTTCTACTTTTCTTGCTCATAAAATTCTTCTATGCAGATCATATAAGATCGTCTATATTGTCAAGTGTTATCAATCACAAAAATAGAGCCATCTTAGGGTTTCAATTGATGCCATTTTCTAATTGTAGTTATGGTTTGCTAATTTGAGACGAAACAATCGTTAATCGAGGTCAGTAGTATAATTTCCCAAAATCTCAGGGGAGGTTGGTAAAAGTGTCATGATCCTCAGAGGAGGTATTCTGAAACTATTGTCGTACGTATTTCACCCGGGGAGCAGACTCAAACGATGACATATTTTTACATTTAAAGCGCAATTACAAGAAGTCAACTTTCACCCAAATTCCCTTTTTTTTTTTTTTTGAAAAATTGAAGCCAAACCATCAAATACTTCCGTAAAGGGACACTCATCCTGCAATTCGTCACCTTCGGGCTACCATGAAACTCCCTTTCCCCTCAGACCTTTTCCTCTCACTGTGTATCGTCGTGGCAACAGCAGCACCGCTTCTTCGTTCTCTTCATCTTCCATCAAAGAGAGATGTGGCTGTCAGTCGATGGATCCTTACTATCACCGCATCACAAATCAAAATATTTTGTTTAATAAAAAACATTCAGGAGGTGTTTGATAAGTAATAATTCCGTTAAAGTTAATGTTGCCTATTAGTTAGTTGATAAACGTATTTATCAAAGTCATTTAATGAAAATAAAGCTTCAGAAATTTGCCCTCTGTAATTAATTCCTCATTTATTGACTTGATTGTTGAGTCATTTAGTCGATTGAAACCCATATAAATTCCAAATTAAACGGGCAAAGGGAGAATGATAAACTCATAAAAACTGTCAAATACATGCGTGCTATCATTCCGGATGCGAACTAAACTAACCACACCTCTAAGCCAACCGGAGACAGACTAACAAAGGCGGCAGGCAAAACACAAATTTTAGAGGAACTTCACGAGGACTGCGATGCGATAGTCAAGCTTTGCCCACTAATCACTTATTATGTTTGTCGTTGTCTTCGAACAGCGAATAGAGGAGTCTCACAGTCGCAGCCGTCTGAATTAATATAGTTTGGTTAGCTGGATAAAGAACTGATTTAAAAGCAATTAGTCTAGAAGCCCCTCATAAGTTGGAAAAAAAAAAGACAAAACACTACAAGATTAGCTCAAAAAGTCGCGCCACCAATTGTTTTGTTCTTTAGTCAAATCACGACAAAAAACTTTTTTAAGGAATACTAGCAGCTCGGCTCCATTTTAAAGATGTGACCTCAAAAGGAGATTAGAAATTATTTACAACGTCTAAAAACTGTCAAGCGAGCCAATTCTGTGTCATCTGCCTAAATCGTAAAAAGAACGTACAAGGTAAAAAAGAGTAGTAGTAGTTCCAAGAAGTTTAATACTTATCCAATATGATTTGTGTGTTTTCCAAGAAATTTTTTTTTTTAAAAAAAATATTCTCTTGATATATAGATAATTAGTTTTATTACAAAAACTTCAATCCAAACAAGTTAAAAGGTGTTTAGAATAAAAAAAAAATACAGAAATTTGGTAAATTAAAATGCGGTTGTGCCAACAAATTTTTGTGTGCTCGCCGTCGGATCGGATTAAATGAATCTAATGTCTTAAATGCCACCGTCTCTATAAACACCGGCGCCAACAATGCACATGAAATTTTTCAAAAGCGAAAGACGACCCAGAAAACACAGCAGAAATAATCAGAGGGGCAACAGAGAAAATAACGGGAAAAGCAGGTGCAAAAGCTGAAAGTTGAGAAGAGAGGCGGGACGCCAGGGTGGATAGTATAAAATGGAGTCGCTGGACTCCAAGACTGTACCACTTAAAATCCGCTGGCCCTTTCCTTTCCTTTCCTTGCTCTCGCACACACTCGAAATTTTCCAACACTTCTAGACATTTAAAAAAATTAAAAGTCAAAAAAAAAATAAAATTCCAAGACTCTGAAAAAGCGGAAGAGGAAGCATAGCCGCTGTTATAGAAACAAACAAACAAACCATCTACGTAGGCGATCGCAAACCCTAGGAAAAAGCTTGCGAATCTCTTAGAAACGGGTTTGCAGATCAGAAATGGAGCCTCTCTGATCAAAGTTAGTTATTCATTTTCCCGGAAAAAAGCCAGTGGAGACTCTATAGACATATATTTTCACCTTCATTTATTCTCTGGAATCTTCGAGCTTCCAAAAGGTGCTTTTTTCTTTTTATCTTTTATTTTGAATTTTTTGGATTCTGTATTCTTTTTGGCCAAACTGTGTTGATCTCGAAGGTTCCACGTCATACAGGCGTGTCTGGAGAAGGGGTAAAATAGGGGGAAAAGTTTTTATTTGAGTTTTTGAAGTGTAATGTGGTGTTTTGAGCCGGAGTTGAATGCTCAGATCCGCCGCACAAGCTTATTTATTGCATTAATTAGATGGTGGTGTGGCGGTCGTTTTCATGGTTTATGGTTTGTGCTTTCTCATTTGTTTTGACTTGGATTCGTGGTCAGTTATGTTCATGCATTGATTGTACAATTTTGTGTCAGAACGATTTTCTGTTTTCCTTTTAAAAAAGGTTGGTTAAGAACCTTTTTTTTTTTTTTTTGGAAATGGTTTTCTTTTTTGTTGTTTTGCAAGAAAACCGATGAAAATGATGATATGACAGAAAACATCGTTCGTTTGAATTTTGAATCAGGGCAAATTTTACTGAGTAATGAAGAAATTCTTATTTTTAAAACAATTGCCTTGGTTTTTTTTTTTTTTTTTTTTTTTAAATACGAATTTTTCTATTTTAAATGTTTAGTGATTTTGCGCGTGTGGAAAAGTGAAATTTATTGTTGGATTCGTGGAGCTGAATGATTATGCATGTAAAACAGTAAATTTTATTATTGGATGCGTGGACTTTTAAATTTCGATTTGATTATGAAATGTTAGTTTCTGGCGAATTTTGATGATCACTGGAATAGTTCTTGCCGACACCCTCGGCAGTTCAAATTTGCAGACTTGACAAGTTATTCCACTTTCAACCTCCTATAGTTAGACTCGTTGGTTGATCATACTATATTCGTCATGGTGGCTAGCGCTGCTACTGCTGCATTTTTTCCTGCTACTTCGTCGCTGCCTGACTCCGGTGGCAGAAATTCCGGAAATTATGGAGGAAGTCTCCCTGCAGGTGTGGATGCCCGTGGGATCAAGTCAAAGTCCTCATCTTCTGGGAAATTACAAGTGAAGGCTAATGCACAGGCCCCTTCCAAGGTTAATGGAACTAAGGTTGGAATCAAGACTGATGATGATGTGATCTCATCACCTCCACCGAGGACATTCATCAACACATTACCTGATTGGAGCATGCTCCTTGCTGCCATCACCACTATTTTCTTAGCGGCAGAGAAGCAATGGATGATGCTTGACTGGAAGCCAAAGCGTCCTGACATGCTTGGTGGCCCCTTTGGCTTCGGTAGAATTGTGCAAGATGGTCTTGTCTTTCGCGAAAACTTCAGCATCAGGTCATATGAGATAGGAGCTGACCGAACTGCGTCCATAGAAACGTTAATGAATCATCTTCAGGTATGCTTGGATTTCTTGGAAATTAGTGATAAGAAGCAAATTAGCTTTGGTCACACAATTTAAATATCTGTTGCTTGTAAGCCTTCAAGCTTTACATGCTTTTCATTCTTTGCAGGAAACAGCACTTAACCATGTAAAATCTGCTGGACTGCTTGGTGATGGTTTTGGCTCTACTCCGGAGATGGCCAAAAGAAATCTAATTTGGGTGGTATCCAAGATGCAGGTTCTGGTGGACCGTTATCCTACTTGGTGAGTTTAATGTCTGTGCAAATTAGCTCAGACCACTAAGCACTGAGCTGTTATATCAAGTACTATTTGTAATTTTTTCCTTGATACAAAGATGCCTAAGGCTTACTATTTAAGGCTGAGATGGCTAAGGTTCTATACCCATTCACTTTCATTGTCTTCAAATTTGTATGTTGCTGTTATGACTGTTTTAATTTTTGGTTTACTAAATGTATATTAGTTGTTTGGTTTTTCTTGCTGCATTTCCTTTATACATTGCTTTCAATATAAAATTTCGTCTGCTTTTGAGATTTAACCATTAACATTCTTCTATAGTTGCTGGCATTGATTTTTGAAATCTGCTTCCTTGATATGTGCTAATAGCATTGGAATCTATTGTGCATAGGTATACAAGATAACAGGGATATATATTAAAGCATGGACCTGCTTGGCAGCTTCATCATATCTCATTTTTTGTGTCTATTAATATGGAGTCTTAAAGAGAACACATGGAAGCATGCACAACTGTATGCACCTGCTTGTTGGCTTCATCATATCTCTTTTTTTGTGTGGTAGTATGTTTTCTTTGTGCATGCTTTCAGCTAAATGGCCCTATTGCTACATTGCTGACTATGTGCAGGATTTTTGTTATAATCTTAAAAGATCAGCAGATTCTTTGCCCTATAATGCCTAGATTACATGACAAGTGAATCCTCGGCAATGATGGTCTGAGCTGTAAATTGATTCTTGCAGGGGTGATGTTGTTCAAGTGGACACGTGGGTTGCAGCATCTGGTAAGAATGGGATGCGGCGAGATTGGCTTGTCCGTGATTGTAAAACTGGGGATGTAATAACGAGAGCTTCTAGGTAAGCTGGAGTTTTATTGTGGTGCATTAAATAAATAATTTGAACTGCATTTTACTGTTTTCCATTTACCCCAATGTTAATCATTATGATAGTGATCTGATCTTTCAGGCAAGCTGGGCTTTCTTTCCTCTGTTGTGGAAGATTCATTCTTTTATTCAGTTTCCATAGCATCCTAAGATTTGTACTTAACGGTGTTTCCTTTTTTTCCCCTGTAAATGCTGAATTGAATTTATTACAGTTTATGGGTCATGATGAATAAAGAGACTAGGAGACTGTCTAAAATTCCAGATGAGGTTCGAGCAGAAATAGAAGGCTATTATTTAGATTCACCTCCTATTGTGGATGAGGATGGCAGAAAGTTACCAAAACTTGATGATAAGACGGCAGAGTACATTCGTACTGGTTTAACTGTAAGATTTTGTTCTTTCTGAACGACACATGGCATTCCTTTCTTGTCTGATTTATATTTTCCCCCCTCGTAAATGTATACCGAATGAAGAAATGTGTGATTTTTGCAGCCAAGATGGAGTGACTTGGATGTGAACCAGCATGTGAATAATGTGAAATACATTGGCTGGATTCTTGAGGTAGACATTCTCCTAACTTATTGCCTTTTTGAGTTCAATTGTATGTGGAGAATTCAGCTCTCAAGAATTCTTGATGATTTAGGGAAGAAACTGGAGAATTTGAAATTTTAGGCTCTTAGACATTCTCTATCTGGTTGTTTTAAATTGTACACGTGCAAAAGCAGATGCTTGTGTTTTGTTATCTGAAATTGCAGTTATTTGGCATAAAATAAGCTGGCTGCCACTGAAGTACTTGTTTTTGGACTAGTCATATTGTTAAATGATAATGAAGGACGAGGGGAAATCTCTCCAGGATGTTTAGTTTTTTGGCATAGGAATGGATATCACTCCAGGTTGTTAGTTTTTTGGCATCGGAAGGCTAATTCCTTATGCTAAGCTGAGGTGGTGAGTTTAACTAAGTAATGGTAATTTGAGTCGATATTAAAGCTGTGGGATGTTGGGGGGTTTTTGTTTTTGGAGGGGGGGGGGAATATGTTGTATCGTTGTTGGCTTTGGTAGAGTAAGTTGTGTTCTGAAGGTGAGTAATGTTGGAATATGATACTGATACTTGAAGCACAATAAGACTGATTGGGGTTCAGCACTCACATTTTTTTGTTAGATGTGTTTGCGTATTAGAGCCAAGATAATCAAAATAGAATCCTTTTCAGCGACTTAATTAAAAAGTGCAGACTGAAATCAATCAACCTCCATTATTGGTACACTGAACTATCTCATTAGTTTCATTTAGGTTCCTTTTGTTGTCATTTGTTGATATATATTTAATAGCAGTGAATATGTGATAAGTTCCTTTTTGTGGTGTCTCAATCCAAAATTGCTATGAGTGATAGGTTCCTTTTCACAATGTCCTGATACAAAATTGCTGACTGAAAGCGACCAGCGTACATTGTTGGTTCATTGAACTATGCCGTTGGTTCAATTTTAGGTTTCTTTTGTTGTCTTCATATCTTTTTTTTTCCCCAACCTACTCCTTCGAGAGAAATAGGGAAATTTCTTAAGCATTGTAAGTAGCCCTTTGCTCCCCCCCCCCCTCTCTCTCTCTCTCTCTCTCATGGAAGTTCCAGCTGGATACCATTCATGAATGTGACAACAAATGCAAAAATTTCTTTATTGCAATTTTTTTATTACTTTTAGTGATATTGGTTCTCATGGGCGTGTGGTCCATCTCATTTTTGTACCGACCAATGATTCATTTTCTATTAATCAGTAGCTAATTTTTTACGCACGCATTTTGAGGATATTACGGATGAGTTCCTACTGCAGCTACTACAAGAAATTTGACCTGAAATCCATTTCCACTGCAATTGCATTTGTTCCTTTCATTTAATTTACTTTAGATGACATAATATGTACTGAAGTGATGGTATATGACAGAAGAAATAACAGATAGGAGGTGTCCTCAAATTTCTTGTTGGCCACTGCGGTTGTATTGCGTGTAGTTACCAGAATTTCAAAAGCAAATTAAGCCCAACGGCACGCAATATATAATTGCAGTGGGCAACAAGAAAATTTCGCTGTTAATAAGACTTCACATGATCGGGAACCAATCAATGATGTGCATCTTCAATCAATTCAAGGGAGGATACAAAATGCATATAGCTTTCTCACATGCAATTTTTGCCTTTTTCTGGAGCAGTTCTCACATGCAATTTTGCACTGCTTGGCCATCGCATCATCAGAATCGAAGCGGGCGAGAATAATTTGCATGTTGTTTAGGAATTATTTTGGGGTAAGGTTTTCTAAAAGGGGCTTGAGGGGTCAATAAAAAAGAAAAATGCCTTTTCTATCCAAGACCCGAATTACTGCTACATAAAATAGTAAATGTTAGGGAAGTCTGCTGTTTTGATTTCTTCCTTTTTCGTGGGAGATTCAACATGGAGCCTTTTTCTTTGCTGGTTCCTCCTCCTCCTATGTCACACGTAGTACTGCTAGTTTGCTCCTCGCAAGTGCCGGCCGCCTGATGATTCAGTGGGTTAATATTTTGGACGGGGGATGGAGACGGAAGTGAAGTGTAACAAATGTTTAAAGCAAACTCGCAAGCTTTTGATGACCTCGAATGAGACATTTGTGCCCATTTGGCAATCATCCATGCGCCAAATGAAAACAGCCGTATGAGTAAGGCTGTCGTCAAAAGGAAAAAAGTAGTGTTTTATTTTATGTGATAATCAGGGTGTGCAAAGTTGATTCAATGTACCAAGCTGTCAAAAAGCAGTCGCCTAGTAAAACCAATGTGCGCGTCTTTTCGGCATCTTTGTAAAAGGAGTGTTCATTCCTACAGTTTACAGTACATGATTCTACAGCTAATTCTTTTTACTGTATCAACTTCTATGGCGCTTAAAAAAAAAAAAAAAAAAAAAAAACTTCTATGACGCTGCTAACTGCTAAGCCCTAGTTGAAATTTGAGAATTTAGAATATTATTCCAAATAATTATTTCACATATAATCTTTTTATAATGTGATGTATGTGAAATAAAAAGATGATTGAAAATATAAAGAGATGGATTGGAAAATGTATTTATGATGCAAACGAAAATTTTTGGAGAAAAATTTTTTTACTGTCCAAACATAGCCGTTTCTTCTTAGAAGAACATAATGCTAATTGCTAATTATAGGTGACAAACAAATCCATTTAACTAAATTTATCCATACCCACCCATGAATAGATGGGTATGGACATTTTAAAATTTTGCATATGAGTATAAATAGGTTACTCCAATAATACCCATTTAATATTATTGGATAACCCATCAAACCCATTTAAAATTGTCTTCCCCAAACCTCCTCTTTTCCCCCAATCTTTTTTTTTTCAAATTTTTCATTTTGTTATGATGTTAACTACTTTTGTTTCATTATTATTATTATTTGTTAGTTTTCTCTTACCATTTTATTTTCTCTTAGTTTGTTAATTTGCTCATTTTTCAGCGTTACCAATTTATAATAAGTTTTAATCACTTTTGCTACCTTTTCAAAATGAAAATTTAAATTTACATATGAAAAAAATACTAGGGATTCAACATTTTTGGATTAAGTTTTTATGTTAAATTTTATGATTAATCTTTCTTACACTGACAGTGTATACACTATCAGCGTTGAATGAATGACAACTATGCAAAATTTGAATTTAAAATTCAACTTTTGTACACATGTAATGAATCAAATGGTGATAGAGTATACACTGTCAGTATATATAAGATTTACTACAACTTTTATAATATTTATTTCAAAATTTTATATTCTTATTATTCAATTATTAAATAATATGTAATTTTGCGACATAGAGTATGAATGAAAAAAATTGGTAATTAGGCTTATTGAACATTATAAGTAAATATTTAAAATAATGATGGGTGCAAAGGGTTATATAAATTAATAACTTAATTTGCAAAAATGAATTTAAATGAGTTTATAAAAATTTAAAATAAATGGGTTGTAAATGGGTAATTGAGTTATCTAATTCATTTTTTGATATATCCATTTACACACATATAATAAAATAGGTATAAATGGATTGACTTACTTATACCTATTATCTATTTTAATCAACCAAAACCCGTTCAAGTTACCCATTTTGACGCCTCTATTGCTGATGTAGTAAGTAGTAATGCACAAATATAAAATAGACTTCGTGTTTAATCATCCTTTTGTTAACCATACTTCAATCCATATAGTCGCATTAATCTTCTAACTCTGCCAATTGGGATCAGTTTTTAGATTTCTTACGGCGAGGTTGAAGCAAATTGTTAATCGTACGAAAATAGAATGATTAAACTCAAAATATAAACTAGAACTTCTATGTGCTTGGTCGGTGTAATATGGGGAGGGATAAAGCTTTTCTAAACTTCATATTCTATCCAATAAATATTTCATATATATATATATATATGTAACAAATAAATTGCTTATCGACTGGAAATTGATTAATGACCAGACTTGTATCAAGCAGATAACTGTAATGAGTATTGTAATACACGTACTCATGTATCAAAAAGTTTTCTGGGCACAAATAAATATTTAGTACTTATGTCATCTATATCTATATGTATTCAGGAAGGGATTTTTTGTAGAAACCCTCTCAATGACTTCTAAACTTCTCATTCTTTTTTCTAAATTTTTGTATTTATTTTAATACATAAAATGTAGTGAGTTATAACCCACCTTATCACCCATCAATATTCCCACTATCTCACTCCCACTATCCCATTATCTTAACTCATTCTACAACCACTCCTACAAATTCTCTATTCCCACTATTCCGCTATCTCACTCCCACTCTCTCTCATTTTCTTATTTATTTTTGATTCTCTATTCATTTTGTAAATGTATTGATTTTGTTTCTTTTATGAGCAGTAGTGGAAGATATTATGTGCAGAAACTTTAGCAGAACTCAACCTTCTTGCGGAGAATTGGAAGTATATTCTTGCCAACTTAATTTTCCAGGTCAGTCCCCTCTGCCTTTTAAGTATGTTTTGCTTTTGCTTTGCTTTCTACCACGAATGATGTTGCATTGATTTTCTGATCATCCATTATTTCTGAAAATTTTTTACAAAATCTTATGAACGGTTGTTTGCTTATTGTTACACTGTAAAGTAAAGATAGTCAATAGTGGGATAAAATATAAACACAAAATTACAATCACATTTCTAACATAAGGTATTGCTTGCTTATATAATTGCGGATGGTATAGATTCATGATTGAGGGTTTTACTATTTCTAAAATAAATTGTATATTATAAAAATTTATTTGTTTGTATTACTGAAATTTTTTTAATTATTTTTTATTGCACATTTATCACATAAAAAAGGTGTTACGATAGTTATTTTCATAATTTTATTCCAAAAATGATCATGCATGAAATAATAAAATATTTTTGATAATAAAAAATAATATAAATGGTTTATAATTAGAGAAAAAACAATTCAGATACTACTAATAACTAAGGCACTATACACCCATTATTAAAATTGGATTAATTTTTAATTTCGTCAGAAATTCATTTGGCAAAATTGCATTCTAGCATTTCTTTTCTTTATCATTTTCACTCTGCATTGACTGCAATAATTTTCACTTCACTTTTAATGGGTGGGCTTTCAAAATTAGTAGAAAGAGAGTTTATTAGCATTCAAATAACGGTTCTGTGTTGCATTTTTTTGAGATGCTAAAGAAGGCATGAAACTTCTTGAAGGATGGTATCCTACTTTTCAGAGTTTGAATCACAATATTACCTTCATTTTTTGTATTTTTGTATTTTTGCATCCACTGGATTAGAAAAAACGCGTCCTTCTAAGCTTGGATAATGTTCAGCAGTGATGCTAAAGATCTAACGATATCTATATGAAAAAAAAAACCCAAGGGACATAATTATATATCATACCAGATATCAGGAAACTAACTGCATAAAAGAAATAATCCTGACTCATATTTCGGCGATCTACCTGACTCAAGACAGTGATTTTTTAAAAAAATATGGTTTCTCTTGGTATTTGAAAAATTCTGAATTCTAACTGAATTTAAACCAAAAGAATAAATTAAAAATTATAGAGGCTGCCAAATTAAAAGACAATATTGAATTGGATATTAAAAGATGGTTTAAACATAATAGGGACTACGAACCAAAATCTTTGAAAAACAATTCTATATCCAAAAAATAAAAATAAAAAATCTACAAGAACAAACTCATTTTCCCAAAAAAAAAAAGAAAGAAAAGAAACCTATAAGAACATACGTCCTTTTCCAAATTTAATAATTTATCTACATTATGAATATATTATAAACTAATACATTCCTTTTTATTTAATATTAAAAATTGATTTTAAATATACAAGTGATAGCAGAGGGAATGAATTAGTTAGCGACATGTGAAAAAATCGAAAAGGACAAAAGCAATTAGAGGGATAATTTCGCACAAAATTCGTGGGTTAAAGTGCAATTTGAGGTATAGATGGGAGGCATTTTAGTGCATTTATTGATTTGTTTTCAATAAGTGGTGATTGGTTTTGCGGGGTTTGGGGGGTCTACATATACCAAAATATATTTATATAGGGATTACTTCATTAACTATGAGTGCTAATAATAATTCTATTGGCGCGCAATTTTCATTTGATTACAACACAATTGTATTAAATTCTATTGATACTACTTCTATATTAACTATTGTATTTTTTTGTTAACAATTCTCATACAATGTATCACTTACTACACATAAAATAAATACAAAAACTATTTATTTTTGATTTAATATATATATATTTTCTAGATCAAAGAAATGAAAATATTGCCTCTCTTCAAGTTCGACAGCCATCCGCATCACCAATATTTTTGCGTGATCATGGTAAAAATGCAGTTTTTTATATCGTCAAAGATCGTGCATTTTCATTTGTAGTACACACTCCACAAAATTCAACATAGTTAATTAAATCATTAATTTTGGCTTTCGTACTAAAAATAGATTGGTGTTAAGAGTGTTCGCACCTTCAAGAAAGATTATCAAATCGAATGCTTAGTATTTGTAAGTATTTCATTTTAACAACATTCAATTACATTCATTTGTAGAAATATATCATTCCCTTTTTTAGTATAAATTTTAATTTTTTTTTCAGGATCCATCTTTCGAAAAAAGACAGTTCTTGAATGATATACACATTCTATTATATTTCAAACTATTGTTAAACAGATATTACATTTAAATTTTGTTGGTTCAATTTTTTCACCTTTATTTGTTCACCATTTTATTTTTTTCAACAATATCAGCACCGTGCGTAGCACGGGTATTCACACTAGTTATAACAGTATCGGCACTATACAACTCTCTATATAGGAATTGCTCGCTGCGCTGCAGCAGCAGAAATTGATTGCTAAAAAGTTTTCTGGGCATTTTTTTTTAAAAAAGTATAGGCGCTTTATTGCGTGGAAGTAATACGAATACAACCACCAGGATATATACAACAATCCGTTTGTATAGGAATCGTGAATGTCGCAACAAAATTTTAAATTGCTTATTCATATGCACGTTCTTATGTTTCAATTTATTTATTTTTCTCTATAAAACTTATATTAACTAGAAATTGGTCAAAAAATATGTTTGATATCTAAAAATAGTTTTAGAACTTCATTTTGTTCCTTCCCACCTTACCATCGAATCCAACCCTCCCCTAAAGCTTATTTGTATTAGGTAAATAAAATATCCTTCATTTACTCCTGAAGAAAAAGTATCTCTATGAATTTTTTTCATTATTCACTTTTAAAATGGTAACTTTACATTGCTTATAAATTCAAGTTAATAAAACTTGGTCCAAATCTAGGCTTCCGACCATTTTGTAGTTTGAAATCACCATGTGAGCCGTATTTGGTTAAATTTTATACACAAAAAAGGTCAGATGATCCTACTTTTCTAGGGGTAAAAATGAATATAGATTGGGTTAGATCTCACCTTTTTAGGCGAAAAGTTAAATATAGTTCAGATCATATTCAATTTTTTTAGAAGCAAAATCGAATATGGATCAAATCATTTGTTTAATTACAAATGGGATCTAATAACCTTTTTACCCTTAAAAAAATTATCATATGTGGGTCATGTAATAATTTTATGGTAAAAAAGAGTTGAAAACCCAGGTTAGGACCAAATTTTACTGACATGATTTTATAAGAGATGTAAAATTATCTTATTAAAAGTGAAGGATGAAAAAAATTATTTAACAAAATATAAGAGATATTTTGAATGATTTTCCCTTTTCATATCAGTAAATGTTCATAGATATTTTATACGAGTATACAGATACACACGTTTATTCATATACGCCATATACCCGTATACATCAAACACACACATACATGAGTATGTGCTCAAATATGGAGGTATGCGAATACACACACACATACTATACATTACACAGATGGATATGTAGATATGCACAGTTGTGCGTATCCCCCCCCCCCCCCCCTTTTCTTTTTTTTAATGCAACATGAACACGACCAACATGTGTACATATAATACAATGTCACATGCACCCATATACGAGTATCTGATTATCTATTAATATATATATATATATATATATATATATATATATATATATACACACACACTTAGCAGAAGCTGTCTGTTTCAACGCAGCAACTGCCAATATATTCTCTAATTCTCATGGACAATTTAACATCTTATACTACCAACCTGTTCAACTGAAAAATGTTATCTTTGATTTGTTTAAAATGTGAAGCAACCCTGTGATGGAATCATTACCTGTGATTCAATCATTGCCAGAAAATGATAGTATATTCTCGACAAAACCAATTAGTACTAAAGGTTTTCAACGAAGATCGTAGAGCGGACTCAGGTTGCATGTTTCTTGCCAATTCAGCCGTTAAAACCATAGTACACTAAGTATATAGTATGCAAAATAGTTCCATGGCTTCCGCATAGAAGCAGATTCCGAAGTTAAACTTCAAACCCACCATGTTAAACCCTTAAATAAGAAAAAGGATTTTCTTCTTTTCTGCATAATGGGATAAAAATTCTTGTCTTTCCCAAGAAGCAATAATAAGTTCTGGTGTATGACAAAAGGGAAAATAAAGACGAGGAAGGCAATCCCCTTCCCAAGCGTTAAAAAGAAAAAAAAAAGAAAAGGAAAAGGAATCAAGAGTATCTAAAATCTAGAAGGAGCCAGTCCCACGTCCCAGATCCCAATTTCCAATTTTTACCGTCTGGAGCTGGTGCTCTGTGGTTTTGTTACAAATGGTGAAAGGATACAGAAATCAAGACTGGGCAGTGGGTAACTGAAAGATGCAGAGAGTCAGAGACCAATTTCCAATTGAAAAATAGTGCCTGCATTTTCTGAGAAAATGCCGGCCTGCTCTCTCATGCTTAGCACTTCATTCGAGGACACTAGTCGTATTTACATTACTACTACTACAAAACTAAATGGAGCACCAATTAAACTAATAATAGCAGTCCTAAATCCTAATGATACTATTAAACTTAGACGGAATATATCATACTTCCCACTGAAGACTCAACTACTACTACTACTATTTAGTAGTATTAACTCAAAAATAGATTAGCTAGCAGGGATTGTTCCTTCTTCTTGTTGTTCAGATTAGAACATGAAAACAAGTGGGATGAAGACAAAAGTACCCATAATCAAACCAAAAACTGAAAAACACACAATAATGTTTCCTTGGTACCCAGATATGGGTCCTCCGTCCTCATAATTATGTCTTTGATCATTCACAAGCTAGCTGCTTCTTTTGTATAACTATTGCTAGTCTGATATCTCCTTAGTCTGCTGCTGCTACTACTAAAAGAGAAAAAGAAGGAAGAAAGTTAACTTTTTGATTGATTGCCTTTGATTACTTCTTTTCTCTCATGTAGTATAGTAGTACCACAAGGCCATCAGGCGCAAGTAGTACCACATCTCTCTTCGATCTTCACCACTCCCTGCTGCAATTGTCTCAGGAATCTTTCTACTTCTTCACAGTCCAACTCTGATTCTGGTGCTCCTCAAAGCAGACCCACAAGCCCCAGGTTCTCTCTCTTTTATCTCACTGTATTAAGTATGTACGGATTTTCTTTAATGCTTTTCTTTAAATCCAAGATTGGTTGTGACTGACTTTTGCTGGATGCTCAAGTTTTCATTTTTTTGGGGTTTGGTGGGTTGGGGGGTTGGTTTATGTTGCATTTTAACCCATTTACAATGACAAAAAATGGGAAAGGGAAAACAAAAGAAGGCCTTTTTCTTTTCCCTCTTATTGGGAATATTCTTCATCTTTTTTGTGTGTTATATGATCCGGGATTTCTTCTTGATTTGGTTTTTCATCTTTTTCTGGTGGTGAGAGCTGAGAAGGGGATCTGTACTATTCTGTCTTGCTGCAATCCAATTCCCAGATCTGTAATTTAGACGTACATTAGTATACATGTAATTGCTCATGAATGTGCTGAAGCTTGTTGGTTAGAGCCTGATCTTTGACTTCTTTACTACCAATTTGAGAAATAGCTCTAACTGATCTGTTTGCACCAGCGTTTTTTTCCCCTTTATTTGTGCCCATTTTAAACTATGAAAACTTTTGGATATCTATTATAATTAGTTTTATGAGCAAATAGGTAGAATTCATGAGCTTAGAGGTGTATTAGTGTAGTGTGTTTAATTGTACAGGTTAGGAAAGTTGAACTAATTGAGCTGGGTTGCAGAAACGGGGAGAGTAATGCAAATAGATATGTTTAATTGCTTGTTTAAAATTGGAAGACTTTGATTAAACGAGGTTTCTTCCGCAAATCTAATATAACTCCTTGTTGCTTTTGCTTTTCTCAGTCAAGAATTTACATTGTTGAAGTTGTCTATATCTTATTGGAAGTACTTTTCTCTTAATTTGGTTTCTTTTAACTTTCCAGATTGGAGACCTGCTACTATGCTTAAGCAAATTTTAGCTAAACTCCCTAGGAAGTCATTAAAATCTGATTCATTAACCTCTGTTGGAAGTGATTCTTGCAACACTAGTCCAAATTCAGACAACGGCATCCAATTTACCAACACTTGCAGTGTGATATCGAGTAGACTGAATGTAGTAAAGAGGAAGTCTTGGGCAATTTTTCCTGCTAGCATCATAGCTGGAGGGGACTTGGTCGAGCCTCATGTTCCTTTTAAAGATGTTCCAAACGCTGATAAACAGAGCTTATTCGTGAGTAAGTTAAATCTCTGCTGTTTGGTATATGACTTCAGCGATCCAGGCAAGAACACCAAGGAGAAAGACCTTAAACACCAGATATTATTAGAACTTGGTGATTTTGTTGCTTCAGGTTCTGCAAAATTCACTGAATCAGCAATTGCTGCAATTTGCAAAATGTGCACGGTTAACTTGTTCAGAGACTTTCCACCCCGATATCACTCTCATGTTCCTCGTGGTGAAAGTGAAGAAGAAGAACCATTATTTGATCCAGCTTGGTCCCATTTGCAGCTTGTCTATGATCTGCTTCTCCGAGTCCTGAATCAAAATAGTCTTGATGCAAAGCTAGCTAAGAAGTTCATTGACCACTCTTTCATTATAAGGATACTTGATTTATTTGACTCTGAGGATCCAAGAGAAAGAGATTGTTTGAAATCAATTCTGCATCGTCTTTATGGAAAGTTCATGATGCACAGGCCTTTTATCAGAAAGGCTGTAAGCAATATATTCTACCGATTTGTTTTTGAGACTGAACGACATAATGGAATTGCTGAGCTACTGGAGGTATTTGGGAGTGTAATAAGTGGGTTTGCTTTACCATTGAAGGAGGAGCACAAAGTGTTCCTCTCCAGGGCTTTAATTCCTTTACATAAACCAAAATCACTGGGTGTCTATCATCAGCAGTTGGCATACTGTGTTGTACAGTTTGTTGAAAAGGAGCAAAAGTTGGCTGTAATGGTGATACAGGGGCTTCTGAAATACTGGCCTGTAACAAGTAGTCAGAAGGAATTGATGTTTTTAAGTGAGTTAGAAGAGCTATTGGAAATGATTAGCATGGTAGACTTTGAGAAGATCATGGTGCCGTTGTTTCGGCGTATGTCATGCTGCCTCAACAGCTCCCACTTTCAGGTAAACTTTGCTGATGTTAATTTCTCATGGCTTAGACCCCTGGTTTCCTTCTTTTCATTGGATAAGGGTATTATTAATCACAAGGAGTTAGATGGAGGAAAAGATCTGTGCTATAAATTATGATTTGTGACATGAAAAGCAAAATCTAAATCCCGAATAGGATGTTAATAAACTAAAGACAATGAGAAAATAAACGTGATAGACAAAGAAATGGTAATGGAAAAGCGCTACCTAGAAGAAGTAACGGAAGGGTTGTTTCTATTCATTGTCTTCCATCAGGAACTAAGTAAACAAATGAGGCAGGATTTCTAATTTACCTTTAGAAGTACCATAAACTCTATCAAACGGACTGATGGTGTCAGTTAAACGGTTAAAACTTTTTGCCTTGTTTATTTCCTAGGTCAGCTATAGCTTTTATCAAAGAATCTAAATTTCCCGTTCAAGTTCATATAAGCTGAAGGAGACTGTAAAATGGTGAAAAATTCTGAACCTGAATTCTTTATTCTTGATGATGTCCAGGTAGCTGAGAGAGCACACTTTTTGTGGAACAATGATCATGTGCTTAATCTCATTGCACATAACAGACATGTTATCATGCCTATGACCTTTTCAGCTTTGGAATGGAACAGCCGGAACCACTGGAATAAAACAGTTCTAAACCTTACACAGAATTTAAGGAAGGTTTTATCTGAAATGGATCAAGAACTGGCACTTGCCTGCCAAAACAAGGTGGAGGAGGAAAACTCAAAGTCAAGCTTGGCTGCTGAGAAGCGGAAAATGACTTGGGAACGCCTTGAAACTGCTGCTAGCTGCCAATCAATAGTCAGTAGCATTTCAGGAGTCAGAGAATCAGCCTCTTGTGTTGTTAGCTACTAATTGATGAGATAGACTCCTGTTCTTATGTTTGCATAGGATCTGGGAGACAAAATGAATAGGATAAAACTAGCTCCGCAATATATACGGGTGATCTTTGATTATCATAATATCCCTTTGGAGCTCTGTTATATGGGATGTCGACAAATTGTTTCTGTGTTATGATGTGAATTCAAGCTGTTTTTAAGGATGACTGCAACTCACTGCTTCCTTAGTGTTCACAGCACTTGTAATTTGCTCTGATAAGCTACCCTTCCCCTTCCCTAGGGGTTACAAGGAAACCTTATCTTCCTCCTCAGAAATTGTCGTCACTTGTAACCATTATTGGTGATGCCAAAGATGAGTGCCTGCACTGATATATAGTACTATAATATCACATCTACATGTATTAAGTTGCGAGGCTGATCGTGGTTGAGGGCTCAGATTCCAGATTGTTGTGGTGAAGGCTGTTGGCATGGCATGTACAGTTCAGCTCATCATTGGTGTGGAAGTAGAGGTCCGTGAGATTGCATAGACAATGGAAACTTGTGTTTTGCTCAGCCCTTTCCCTTGAGGAACAACTTTGTTCAGAATGTTAAATCAATATCAAGTTATTAACACCATGTTGTATCCTTCTCCTTTAGGCTTTTGTCAGTTCTCGTATGCCCTTCTTTCTTTAACCAGGTACTCTAGCACTGAGTTTCAAAAAAAAAAAGTTAATGTGACTAAGATGACTTGAGCACTTTTAAGCTACAGTTGGGCCGTAAGATGACTTAAAATCTAAAATAAGAAAGTTAATAATGTGAATAAGAAGGTTTTAAAATGGGAAGACATCGAGCCCAACTTACCCATTTCCTCTGTTGCATGGACAAGAAAATCTGTGGCCTAACTGCAGCCCTGCCAAATACTGGTCCAATAGCCGCCGCAGGGATCTCCAATCGAGGCTGCATGCACCACACAATCCATCTACTGAATCGACTCAGGTGATCCATCTTCCTGAGTTTATTGTTTCCGGAATTTAAATAAATAAATAAAGGGGTGATTCATCGGCCTGTGTTGCATTATTCTCATCCACAACTCTTTTTAGACTCAACTGTCATCTCAGTGCAATGTGCGAATAAGAAATAACGAGAGAGTCTTTTTTTTTTTTTTTTTATCAGAAATTTTAAGAATTAGTAGTTAAATCTAATCCCAAATTAACCTCAAAAGCCACGGTGGTAACTCCTGAGGCCAATTTGGGGATTTACCTACCCAACCCCCAAACCCCCTTACATCGATGTGGGACTACGTTAAAGTTAGTGGGGAAGCTGCTACTAGATGTTAACTAATACTCATAAATCCCAGATACCTCCCCTGTGTTTTTTTTTCTTTTTATCAGAAATTTTAAGAATTAGTAGTTAAATCTAACCCCAAATTAACCTCAAAAGCCACGGTGATAACTCCTGAGGCCAATTTGGGGACTTATCTACCCAACTCCCAAACTCCCTTACATCGATGTAGGACTACGGGAAAGTTCGTAGGGAAGCTGCTACTAGATGTTAACTAACATCCACAAACTCCAGATACCTCCCGTGCGTCTTTTTTCTTTTTATCAGAAATTTTAAGAATTAGTAGTTAAACCTAATCCTAAATTAACTTCACGCGTGTACCAGAATACTAGAAGATGTTGATATTATTATTATTGTACCTGTCCTAGGCTTTGGAACAGATAGAAAAACGGACCTCCCTACTGCTACATTTCAAGAATGAGGAGGATTTACGCTAAACAAACCAACAAGTGATTACTTGGCTCCGTACCTTATCCCTCATTTAAAGAGTGCTTGGTATTACTTTTGGGCAAACCTATTATTCTGTTCATAATCTCTCTATGATCAAAATGGAGAGTTTATGACACATCTAACGTTCTTCGTAAGCCAAATTTGTTTTACATCAGATTTGGCAGTTCAAGACATGCACAGAAGAGAGGTGCAGTGATTCATCTAATTAAAAAAATATATTTTGAGGTTTCAATTCGTGGTGCCATTTTTTTAATTTTTTTAAATCTAATGTGTCTGTTGGATTATAAATTTATTATTTTTGGTGCTCGCTAATTTGATGCATCTCCGTCGTTAATAGTATAGTAGATTTGCGAGGATGAATTATAAAATAAAAAAGAAATAGAGAGTTTATGTGTGGATGATGGTTGCAATTAATTGTTCACGTGAACGTCATGACGTGCATGTACCCATCACCACGTCACATGCACCATCCAGTTGAACCGCTCTCAAATAGACAGACAGAGTGCCAGCCGCGTCCCTTGCTCTTCTTCACCCCTCTTTTTTTTTTTTCGGTTTTATTTTTGTTAAAAAAAAAAAAAGAAATCACAATTTGAATTGAAAGCAAAAGTCTTCAGAATTCATAAATTCGAACGGGGACCAAAGCAACCATGAAAACCATATCATACAAAACAACCTGGTTGTCTGGATGGATTAGGTGGGGTTTGTATAGATTTGATGTTTTTAAGGTGTTTTTTAAAAATTTTATTGTAGTATTGTATATTAAAAACTTTTACTCTGAAATTGTATTTTGAATATTTTTAAAAATTTAAATTTGTTAGAATATTTTTAAAATACTTTTAATCTTCTCGTATCACCCTTACTCCACCACCTCTCTCCTCTCTCTTTCTTTTACCTTCTCCCTTGTACCCTTCTCTCTCTTCCTCGCTTTCCCTTCTTTATCCTTTCTTCTTCCTTTGCCCTTTTTTGGATTTGGCAACAAGGAGGCAGCGAGGGTACGGGGAGAGCAAGGGGAGGAATGGGGAGGAGATAGGAGGAAGGAGTGGAAGAGGCAGTGGTAGGAGAGAGGACGGAGAAAGAGACGGTGGAATTTTTTTATGTAAAATATTTTTGAAATGTGTTTATTGTAACATTATTGTATCTTCTTTCCAAAAAAAAAAAAAAGAATTATATGTGATATATTAGTTTTTTAAAAAGGGGATAATCCAAGCAAAGCTCCACGTGATGGGCTGAGAACCTCAGTGGAATGGGGAGGGGCCCAACCTGTTACTACGTTGGAGGGACCAATAATAGGACAACAATCAGCAAGGAGAGCTATTGGCCAAAAGGGAAATAACAACAATGACAAAATGTGTTAAAAAAAAGTATTACAGAATATTTCCCATGGCAAATATAATGGTCTTACCAAGCCACATGCGGAAGATATAATGGGTTTGTTTGGATTGCAGTTTATTTGTCAAAATATATTTGTTTACATCATTATTATAATTTCTAACACACCTTTTTATCTTCTCAATTACCTTTTTATCTCACATACATCACATCACAAAAAGTGTTACAGTAAAAATATCTCTAATAATTCACAATCCAAATTAGTATAAAAAAATTAGAAAAAAAAGGGAAGACATAGCGAAGACAAGTCATTGCGTTGTCAGAATGAGGGATCATTTGCGGATGCGGTAGTTTAATGAAAAGTACTTTCTTAGTAGAGTTTTTAATAAAAATACTTATTTAACTGTATAAGTGTTTTTACATATATTGATTGAAAATATAATTTATTATATTTGATAATGTATAATTTTAAAAATGTTTTATCTCTTTATTTGGTTCATAATATAGGATAAAATGATTAAATTTGATATTTTATTTTTTAAATCACAAAAGTTATTCTAAAAGCATCAAATTTGAGTTTTTGCTAAAAAATTTTTAATATAAAAAATTCTACTCGTAATTTTATGGGATGATATTCACCAAACACTTTAAAAATACTTTTAACACCTAAAAATATTTTTTTATTAAAAGTACCGCAACCCCAAACGGGGCTGAATCACCTCTTCATAAAAGATCATATATCCGAGTCTTGATGTTGATGGATAATCTATAAAAGTGATCGATAGGTTCGAAATTATCTCCTGTCACCCAAACTTTTTTTATTAAAAAAAAGGGGAAAAATGCGGCCTTTTATTATTGGATAAAGTTTGTGTGTTGTTTTGGACAGGAGATTATTTATTCAAATATATTTGCTTACATCACCATTACAATTTCCAACACACCTTCTTGTTATTTTCTCAATTACCTTTTTATCTCACATACATCACATCACAAAAAAGTGCTACAGTAAAAATATTTCAAATAATTTACAATCCAAACGCGTGTAATAAACCTTTCTCTTGCCCAGCAGGAAAGGAAAGAAAAAAAAACAGCAACAAAAAGGAAATGGATCCATCTTTTTAGTTTGATCTATTTCCCTGGGGTTGTTGATTGGCTTGTCACTTTTTGTCTGGGTCAAAATCTTTAAAGGCCAATATGATGGCTAGAATGCATGTTTCCAAAAAATCTCCAGTAGTAATCAACTCTATTTATATGTGATAGGAAAATTCTATTATATTGGTAATAGCAGTTGTGCTAGATTGGAAATATAAAATCAACTTTGATGCGACTAATTATGTTATGTTGCATTTAGATTAGGAAATTTGATAAAAGATTTAAAATCCTTTTAAATCAATGTAATTTGTTTCGATTATTTGGAAGGCGTTTGATTTGTAATTCATCAATTATTAACATTGACGAATTGCAAATCAAAATGATATCCATCTTTAAACGACAATCTTTTCAAATCTCTTAAAGGTCAATCTTCCAACGCAGCCTAAACCATGGATGGACGCCATAAATTCTACAACTCTTTTCAAAAATGTACCGAATAGATAAGTAAACGGAGGAAATGAATGGATGCGTAATTCACCCTGATTGGGTAGAAATGTTCAAAGAAAATAAAAAAAAAAAAAATTTCTTTGGGGTTACGTAATACACACGTTTATTTTTTGGGAGAGAAGTTGTAGCACTGAATCCCGTGGTCAATGAGGCAGTAGCATCTAAGGTAAAAGCTTAATAACGAAGGCATTGGTGATCTGGCCCGTTCACAGTTTTGGTACATCCATCCAGAGAAACTAGGGAAGGAAATCAAAGATACCGAGAGAGGCAGAGGAAATTTCCCATTGAATTTCCAGTCAATTCGGGCCAGTCCCCACCTCCTCTCTCCCTCTCTCTTTACTAGCTATTAATACCCCCAACCTGGCTACTACTGTTGCTCTCTCAATAGTAGCAGTATCATCTTCATATTCCTTTTGGCTAGTTTTCCTTTACCTCTAGCTGTTCACTGTTCTGGGTTTGGCAATTTCAACTGAAACTGTAACGCAAGAAAAGCCAGCAAAAAACAAACAAAAAATTATGGATGGAGCACCAGCGTATCAGGGGATGTCTTACCAGGAGCACCTCCAAAGGCGTCGTGAAGAAAAAGGCCTGCTTTATACTTGGTTCGTACTAGGGCTTGATTCACTTTCTTTTTTACTTGCTCTTAAAATCTCTTGATCTTCTCAACTGGAGACTTTTTCCTACATTTAGTTGTTACTGCTTTCCTTCCCCTTCAGAATTTGAAAATGGGATGTCGGTGTATGAATTTTTTGACTAGTCTATATATTTCTAGTTTTTGTTACTACTATGGAGTTATTATTATTTTTTTGGGGTACGTTGGAAGAGTCTATTTCTTGTATTAGGCACTCTATATTCTTGTATTTATGAAAGACAGGGAAGGTTGAAGTGAAAACTATGGTCTAATTTTGCTAATTTATGGGTGCAGTTTGTTCGCATTATGTTGCTGTTTCTGCTGCTACGAGACCTGTGAATGCTGCTTAGACGTTGTCTGCTGTTGCTGCACCTGATTATATGGGATACTTCATCTCATCTGATGTTAATATGCTGAATAAAACGTTTTGGTACAATGAATAACCGTTTTATATGGGATACCCCTCAGAAGAGGGGACAGTGGAGTTTGGCACTTATCGCTTGTGTATGGTGACTTGCTCTCTCTATGGATTAGTATTTTACAGCTGATGTTTACACGACTCTCTCTCTCTCTCTCTCTATGTATATATATATACATATATATATATATTGCAAGCATGGCTTTCTTCCATCCTATATCCAATTCCCGGGAAAATAAGGAACTACGTTTTAGGGTTCTCGTACGTAACAAAGCTTGTAAAAATACAGAATTGCTCAACCTTTTGAGTCATCATTCATCTAGTTTACTTTCTGATAGATTATAAAGTAACTGGAGATGCAACATAATGACTGATTTTCTATCAATCGATATCTATTCAGGATGTTAAACCACCCCCCCCCCCCCCTCTTTCCCAAAAAAAAAAAAAAAAAAATCGATCCCCTCCTAAAAGAAAGAGAAAGGACAAAGGAAAGCAGCCACTCACAAGGAGCTGAGTGGAGGAGTTCAGAAAATGTACGAGCAAGTAATGGAAGTGAGGGCAGAAGTTAGCAATATGGAGACCAAGTTCACAGCATTGTTATCCAGAATGCTAAGACCGGAGATCTTTTTTACTGTTGGTCCCGGCTTCCCAACCACCTGCACAAAAGTACGTATCAGTTTGTCGAAGTCCTCATTTCTGTTGATATTAATTGAATCCCTGAAAAAGGGAGATTCTTGGATCAACATGTTGATCAATTTAACCAGAACATGCACCGTGGACAATTGTGTCCATGAGCTAACTAAAGTTAGGTTCCAAAATTGTTGCTCAAATTCATGCCTCAAACGCATGATGTGGCATAATCTCCAATTACAACTGCATTATCACCGTGCTAATTTTCAAGCTCTGATTGTTCAAAGGCCATTCAAACATTTGAAAATGGGAGCAGGGTAGGTTGTAGCTGGGAGACGAGGTTCAGGCCACGAAAATTTACAGGAATGAGGATGAGATTTAGCGGTGACACTCTTATTCTGGCTGTAATTTGAATGCCTGTTATTTCGACGGGGAGAGAGAGAGAAAATCCTTTTCCATTTTACACGTTTCCAAGACAATCATTTTCCGCTAGGCAGCAAAAATAAATGAAAACCAACATGATAAAGATACTATTCTTTTAAAAGGGGAGTTAGAAAAGAAGGTACAAGCTGGAATGAGTGTGGTGAATGGTGGATGCATCTCGCACTTAATATAAATCATTTTATTTTTTGTTTTATTCTGTCACAAATCAAGATGATTTACAGGCAGCGAGAACTCATGACTAACGTCGGAGGTAAAATCATCATCAGAGGCATAACTGCAGCGTATATATTTGTTCTGTAAAACCACCAAGAAGTTACCTTATTGCGGACACTGCAAAATCCACTAAATTGCAGAGTAGCTCCCAACAGAGAATCTATGACGCTTCCAGAAACTCCTGCCAGAGCAGAAATTGGTATCACAAGTAGCTGCTTCAGAGCTACATCCAAAGAGCATGATGCAATTAAGTAACCAGGTAGAACAAATGCCAATCCAATGACACTGCCCGCTGCTGCTGCCGCTAGAAGTCCAGCTTTGGTCACACCACCATTTGTACCCCTCCGAACTGGCTGATATGGTGGATGAGAAAGATGAGATCCACAGAACTGATTCAAAAATAATAATTGCAATTCTGAAGACTAGCTTCACATAGACTATTTCATAACCTGTGTCTCTTAAAACATAAACATCCAGTTGTTCAAGCTTCAAAAGTTAAAAAATGAGTTGGATTTGCCTGCTAAAGCAAACCAGACAAGAAGGTTTGGAGGAAAAAGGAAGATTTACCAATGGCACAAATTATTAGATAACACAAGAACACGGGTTTTATTGAAGCATTCACCAGCACTTAAAAGCTGATAAAAACCAAACCAGCACATCTTCTTGTTGCAATATTTGGAGGTTTAACATCTAAGAACAAGTTCATCCCGATTAAGTTGAGACTTTTTTAATACTAGAGCATCAAAACGCCAATTATGAAAAAAATGAAGGAAATATAACTGGAAAAAGGCCTATCATTATGCTTGATTAGAACAATTAGTAACCGGGTCAAATTGCAAGTACCACATACCAGAAGGGATACCAAATGAGTTCAACAAAATCAAGGAACACTTAATGCACATCTTGTGGCTACAGATGAAATAAAATCCTATTCTAAAGGAGAAGCAGGAGGACTGGGAAGGATATCAGATAAAGTATAATCAAGTTGACCTTTAAGGTTGTGATCAGTCGAGGCTGCTCATCACTCAATATCCCAAGTTCTGATGACCAAGTGTCTCCATTGCAGCAGCAATAGTGGCCAATGATGGCACTGACTAGATACACCATACTGCCAGATTCTTTTGAATCGAGACACTTGTCCTGATGACCGGTCAACTTCCATGCAACCAAGACCAAAAGGCTTGCTATGCCACTGTTTGACAGAACTTGGATCCTGCAAAGAAGAGATCCGGAGAGACGATGGGTAAAACGAAAAAGATTAAGCACAAAAACCTCAACAAGTGGAACGTTATAATTCCCCTGTACGAGCTGTTTGTTCAATTCAAATTCTTACTAGCATTTTCTTTTGATTTCCAGTCCCCTATATGGCATCTCCTACTGTAACTGATCTTCTTCCCAAAAGCTTTTTAAAGAGTAACGTGTTACTTACGGTTTTGAAAAGAGTGGAACACCACTTTCCCCAAAAGTTACAGGAGTATAAGGTAGAGCATTCAATGGATGAAAATGGGAAAATTAATCATCCTGATCACACAATAACACTATTTTAAATCCATTGAATTTGAATTGGTATTTGATATGTAATGCTTTAGCTTCCATTAATTATAGGGAAAGACAAGGCAACGCGCTTCTATTCTAAATTTGGAATTATTTCCTGATCTAATTCAATGATCCTTCTGCCCAATAAGCAGTAAGTAGCCTTATTCTAGCTGAAGCTCAAATCTCCACCAATTTTCCTCGGTTGCTATTCTCATATTAACTGATGTGATGAAGTTAGCATTACCGTAAATAGTAAGAACTGAAAACTAATTGACTCTCAAAACACACAAGTTTAGTTCATTGTGGTTAACCATAAAATGTCGCTGCCAATAAAGCACAGATACTCCAAAGGAAAATATTGGAAGGATGGAAATTTACCAATTCCGTTGACCTCCCTCTTTGAACTCAGCGTCCAGTTTTCGTTTTGTCTCCAATCCATATTTAGTGAGCTTGGAAGAAGTGAAAAAGAAAACAAGCAACATTGCCCCAAACCTACAAACTCCATCAATCCCACAAAGAAAATAAAAAAACTTCACCTAATTCAAATAATAATAATAAAGTAAGCATCCGGAGATTAGAGTTCCGAGGTTCCAGAACTTGCCTGAAATTGACGGCAATATGAAGGGTCATAACAATAAAGCCAGCGAGAGCTCCAGAGAGGTCAAGTGACTTCTTTCTATAAGCTCTAAAAGCAATTATTGAAGAAATGATCGCAGCGACTATGGGTTGGATCATCTGCTTATCCATTTTCCTTTCCGTTACCGCCCCTTCCAAGTCAACTCAGCGGGCCGGCCGCTGCTGCTCTGCGGTAGTTTACTGAGGCTCAAGATGAGACGGCGGTTCCAAAGAAGTGGAGGCGAATTCGGTTAATTGGTTATGTTCGGTCGGGTTGTGGGCATATCTTGGCGCTCGTCAACGTCGGGCGGCGTCATGTGCACTGCACTGTACGATGATTGTACCCTGTATAATAATACTAATACAGTATACGGATTTTTTAAGTATTCAGGTCGCTCCTTCAGACGCTTACGTGTACTCATTTAAATTATGACCTAATTTACACTTAGCGAGTGCAGATTAGGCGCCCACCCCAGGGTAGCTCGAGTGATTTCGTTGTCCCTCTTTAGGGTATGACAACCACGATTCAAGTCTTGGGGTTACCGTGTTCGAGAGGATTGGGCCTTTTCTCTCAAGTCGCAGGGAATTAATCGGGTCGAAGGCCCGGACACCCCTGCATCAGGAAAAAAAAAACTGTGGGACTTGGATGGGTGGGTATAAATTGCCATGGCAGGAGATTAACTCAAACCATTGAATCAAATCAATAGGAATGATACTAGAATCACCAACCCTCAAAAACCAAATAAAATTAGTTATTTGATTGAATCAAATCAATAGGAATGATACTAGAACCACCGGCCTTTGGCGGTGGGCACGGCCAAAGTATTAAAACTTGGTTGGTGCATAGTGCATCCATCCGATCCGATGGTGATTTAGTCTCTTCGGATTACCCTTGAACCTCTTCGAGTCCACCTCTCTCCCTGATATAAGATAGAATAGATTTATTGTCTCCGTACAAAAAAAAAAAAAAGAAGGAATGATGCTAAAATATATTAGTGGTTCCTGAATCGTCTTGTGGAACCAAGTGCACCCAGTTACTGGAGCTGTTCAACCCACATTTTGTAATTTGCCGGGCCGGCATTTCTTTCTTCTTTACATGAAATTTGTTTTGGCTCTCCTCATTGCCACTTGCCAGACATAATTGGCTGGAATCCAATCCGTCCCGCAAGTAAAATGACGAACGGGAAGCTTGCTTTATTTTAATGCTCCCGCTATAAATCCAACAGCGCAAGCCAGGGCACCAACCTCTTTTTTCCCTTATCATCCCTTCCCTCTCCATACCCCAACTATGAGATCCATTCGCAGAAAACTTATTCACAATCTCCATTCCCAGAACATTACGCAATATATACAGGTTGCTGCATATATAACTTCTACGTGCATAGGTGAAAAGGACCAAATCTCCAACTGTGCATGTACAACACTCCTTTAGGCTTTATATCATTTCTGAGGCGCTTTTTTTTTATATATATAGAACATGTTTAAAGAGTGAACTGCATTCTGCAGTTAAATCCACCATACACATTCTTCAAACAGGGAACTTGATTTACCCAAAAAGGTATAGAAATTTCAAAAATCTACTGGAAGCCTGGAGATTAGTTGTAGACTGCCCTAGCTTACACGACAAAAATATCCATCAAAATTTTGGTTTTGCATTTCTTCTTCCACTCTTCAACAAGTAACACCAAATGTAACATTGAGGTACAAGGTTATCTACTTAGTCCATGTCCCTGTGTTGAATCTAACCATTGCAGTGCACTTCAGGGCTTCCTAATCTCTCAGATTGCACCATGAGATGGTTAAGAGCCTGAAGAAAAGATATGCTGTAAAGAAAAGGATTACAAGAAAACTGCTACCTATCCAAGCGGAAGTAGTAATGGTTAGGGAAAGATGAAAAAGTAATCTTAAAGCTGGCTTAAACGAAATCATTTACATCTGACTAAAAGGATCTGCTGATTTTTCAGCCCAACTCAGCTATTCTTGTTCTATCAAAAGGAACTACAGTTAGGAGCAACAAGTACAACTCATAATAAATATTCAATAATGGACCTGACAGAAGGTCGCATGCGACCACAAAAATTCACCATCGTTTCAGAAAAACCATTTGATGATCAAAACATGAATTTTGTCAAAATTCTGCAAGAACATCCATCAAAATTCCAATCACACAGTTATGATAGAGTAGGTTATCTACTCACATTGGCAAGATTTAACAGAACAAAGATAATGTTTGAAATGAAAACAAAGGAAAGACATGTTAGCACCTATTTCTTTTGACTTGTTCTGGACAGAGGAATATGTTCCGGATTACACTTAATAGTACTATTTACACAAGTCGCTTGATCAATGCATCAGTTAAATCTTGATCATCAAGCAGAATTAGATCAACAAAGATCTGTACCTGTTAAATGGGCAGCGAGGAATACCTAGGACATGGAGATTTCTCATCCATTTGATAAGACCATTCAGGTAAAAGTTGGAAGTTAACAACACCAGATGAATTCTTATGCACGCTGAGGTTAGAAGCCACTTCCGACAGATGAATTCGTATGCACCCTGAGGTTAGAAGTCTCTTCAGAGTTGCATGTGCACGTCTTGGGCATAGCAATCACCAAAAGCCAAAGCAATGTTCAGAACAATAAGGAGAAGCCAAACATGTGAAAAATCACCACCTTCCCCTGCCTCCTCTCCTTCCTCTTCCCCTTCCACTACCTCTACCTCTACCTCTAAATCCCATCCTACCATGGGCTCTAGGATCGTCTCTTTCAAAATTAAACATGCTCATTCTTATATTCTCTGCCTCCGTTGCATTAGGATTCTTCTGAACCTGAACAAGTCAAAAATAATGTTAATGAGATGAACAGCTGCAACTTTTGATGGTATAAATGGTCATATCTCATAATATCATATTCATTTTAATGTGGTAAATAGAAATCTGAATTTCTTTATGGACACCTAATTTTATTGATTCACATTTATCACTTCAGTGTCATATTATGGTTGATAAAGAGTAAATATGCAAAATGGAGATACAATTTTCTTTCATTCCAAAAGGTTTTAATCTAGACCTAACACAAAAAAGATTTTGTTAATTGATTCTAGGTCTAAAACTTATTGGTTTTGTTATCTATGCTAGAATCAGAAGTAAAAGATGATAACAGGCACGCTTTCTGATGTAATTAATACAGAGAAGGTATATATCTAACTCTTCTCAGTTTTTACCAAGGATACGTAAGGACGTACATGGATATGGAGACACACACACACACATATTCATATACATGTATCGCTCACATAAAAAGTTAAAGCAAAGCTTCAATGGCCATGCTTTGCTACAATCCATTTTACAAAATTCAGAGACCCAAAACCTTTCGAATTATCAAGCACCACTTTTTCTGTAAGTAAAACATTAACCACGTAGACAAAAACACTGTCAGAAGAACATCTCAGTCACCTCTCGAGTCTCAAATATGTTCTCCAACAAAGGCATCCAAACTCCTAAAATGAAAAAAAGCCTATAATGAGGCTGTTTCATGAGAAATACGAAAAACAACAGACAAACAACTAATATTTGAGACAAACTGCCCGTACTGAAGATAATACAGATTTAAAAAATATGCTTACATGAACATCTTCCAAATCAAATTTCTCTTGAAGCTGTCGTGCAAGGTCCTCATCTAGGCTGTGTGCTGTTGAACTGCTTATCCCGGTTTTTCTCCTTTCCCACTCATCTAAAGTGACGGTTGCAGTGTCTTCCTCCTTTTCTTTCCTCCCATGTCTCCTCCCCCGGAAATGCTTATTATCATGGTTGGGCTGACTCATTCTCTGGAGGAGTTTTTGAGCAGCTGCTTGGTTTTGAACGGGGATAGATTCAGCCACTGTAGTCACAAGAAAATATACTCACATAAATAAACAGTCCTAACAACAAAAGGAGCTTTACACCATAAGATACAGAAATGTGCATCACAAGATATTGATCTCTGTTTCTCCTTTTAACCCATTAATTGTATAAATGAGGGAGGTTCCAAGAAAAGCATATTGGATAAGGTGTGTTCTCTAGCTCACTTTCTTGGCTTCTTTTTCTTCCTCCATTATTAGACCTCAAACTTCTCATGTTTTGGAGGATGAAGACCTATACTGGACTAAGACCATCCAAAACCCAAAAATGACTTTAAATACTGTTCTCCGTTTGATCTATCAACCCATAAACAACCTTTTAAAATTATTCTTTTGGACCCAAAGCTAGATCTACTTTGCTAAGGTTCATTACCTAACTCAACGTTTTACTGTCAACTTCATTCTGTTATCTATATCTGCCTACCATCCCATGTTGGTCCTACATTCATAAAAGGGCGTTACTGAGCTTCTGCTATGTTGCTTGTTTGCACAATTTTCCATGAATGTTCATCTGACTGCTAACTATTCTTAGACTCAGGATCTCAAAGAAACTAAACCTCCTGTGGCCTCTCTTATATCAGCAATAAGGTTATATACGCCCCACCTTCTTTTTGCCTTGCGTGAAGGTTGGTGGAGTTATCTTCAGCATTTTCAACACGAGCTGGTGGCTGTACTTCAGTTTGCTGGCTATCCATTATGACGCTGCGGCTCGGAGATTTACTCATCTGCCTTGATGTCGAACTTTCACCAATTTCAGAAGCGGTCCCCAGGCTACTACTGGAATATTCTATAACCAAGGAATTACAAGGTTAGAGATCGCACTGAGTTTAATTGTTTGACGTAAAGTTGAACCTTTCTGCATATGCAATCGCAAAAAATTTTGAACGCATATTACATTAGTTAGTCATTTATTATAAGTCAATAAAAGATTCCTTTCAAGTGTATTCCTCAAAAGGAGACTTTCCACCCAAAAAAAAAAATCCACAATACTGGAAACTAAAAAACAAAGCAAGAAGAGTTGAGATGGAAAAGAAAAAAAATAAGAGAGCATTATAGAACTGACGAGAAGTTCTGCTCTGCTGTTGCAGCCTTGCACCAACTTCGAACTTCTCAAATCGTGGAGGGCAACTAGCTGCACTTTCATTCAATGGTCGCAAGGCTGAACGTGAAAACGCTGAATATTTTTGGTTCATCTCCCATTCTTCATACAGTGACTGAACCCGACCTCCTAAAACTCTCGTCACTTTGGCATCTAAGCAGACAATTCCATTGCGAACCTTGGCATTATTCTCCAACAGAACCTGCCAAAAATAAACAAAAAATACAAGAAAAAAGTAGTTATAACAACAATACTGCCAACAGCTTCACCCATTCCCCAAACCAAAAGGCCAATGAAAAGGGAGGAACCCATATATGCAGCATTTCCTGAATCTTTTTTTTTTTTTGGGCTTCCTGAATCACTTATTGACAGCATTATCCTAAATCACTTATTTACAGCAATTTCCAAATTATGAAGTAAGACATTGGTTGAAAGCCAGTGCATTCTTGTAGAGTAGAAATTTTTCAAAGAAATCATATCTAAGCATCAAAACTGAGAGATCATCTGAAAGCAAACAAAATGACAGAGACAAATGAAATGATATACCTTAGTGCCAGGCACTACGTTATCTGGAATTGATGACAGATGAGAATACTCTACGGCAACTATTTCAGTTTGGCCATCAGTAAGGTTGAATCTCAGCAGGCGCCTATTACTCGAATTTCCTAAACTCTCAGCCACATTGCTCTTACCTATATCTCTAACAGAAGATATCTGTAATTTAAAAAAAATAAAAATAAAAATAAAAATACACACGGATGGTTGGGCGGCGAGAAAAAATTAGGATCCTGCTGTCTTATATGGTTTACCTGAAGGACTTTGGGGCCTTGTAGATGCGAGGCATGGCGGAGATGGGAAAGTTCAGGCAAAGATTTCCCCCCGATGGATCGAAAGTCCATGTTGAGGAGTGCCGATTCGACAGAATCCACGGTGAGACGCGAAGATAATTCAGCTGCTACTAGAGCTTGCACTTGATCGACGCGTTTGAAGCACCAACCTCGGGAAGTTAGGGTTTGCAAGTGAGACAGTATAGCAGCAGCTGAAGAAGATGGGGAGGTTTCCATCTGGTGTATTGTTTGTAGGCTTTTAGCGGCCGGTACCGATAGGTGTTCGTTATTTGAACGCTCGTTAGCAGACAGACTGGAGAGCGGAAATTGGTCAGTGGCAACAGGAGGAAGCTCGATCGGGGCCAGAGGGTCTTGGGCTTTGTTTGTCCTTCGGCTCTAATTCCAAGCCCAAGTTGATGACTTACCCCTTGCCTGGAACCCAACTCTCTTTTCCGGTTTGATGCAAGGAACCGAAACGAATACTTGTGGGAGCTTGGTCTGATGATTATACGGTGGATTCATTATTTATTAAAATTTCATATTGATTAGACGTTATCGATGACTGGATCATATATATATATATATCCAGATACTTTTCGAGGAGTAAATCATTAAGGTACTTGTCAATATTTCAGAAAATAATTTTGTTTAACATGTAACATGATGAAATGTCAATTATAATTTGGAAAAATCGTTCAAAATGTTTCTCATATTTGTCAAATGATTTTTTTCGTCCCTCTTACAAATTCATATTGATCAAATTTGGTTTCTATATAGGTTTCCGACTAGTTTTTTGTTAGAATCCATCACATACCTTGCACGCGATCATTTTTAAGGACAAAATTATCAAATTAATTTTACACAATTCGATCCATAGTCCCTCGTATTTTACAAAATAAATTTTTTCGTCTTTCACATTTCACAAAATGAATTTTTTTGTCCCTCACATTTCATAAAATGAATTTTTTCATCTCTCATATTTTATAAAATAAAAATTTTCATCTCTCATTTATCATGTATATGAAGAGTTTTTTTTTTTAAATCCATATATGTATCTATTTAATTTCACATGAACAATACAAATAGAATGTGTACAACTACAATTAACCTATTTAGACGAAATCAAATAATTTGGACATTGTCCAGTGTTTATATCGAATTAAATTTGGATAAAAAATAATCAAAAAAAAGTATGACAAAAATAAATAAGTAATTGGCACTTCCAAATTTTAAGACAATCACAAGTAAGTAATTCAATTGTTGATCTTAAAGGTAGCGAATAAAAATTTCAAATTTAAACTGCAATTCGTTAGCATAACTATAGAATTCGAATTAGAACTCATTAATTAGATGGCCTTATTATACAATTCAATAAATGAATTATTACTAAAAGAGAAAAGACCATAAATATTGAACAATTTCACATAATGAAATCAAATAAATATATTCATGGGTTTAAAATAAAATTGTTAGTTTTAAACCTATGTATATATCTATTGAACAGCATGTGTACAATTACAATTAACATGTTTAAGTAAAATCAAATAGAGATATATTACATACTATTCGTATTATTCAGGTGAAATCAAATAGAAATATACGTGGATTAAAAAAACTATTCATACACATAGTTAATGAGAGATAAAAAATTTCATTTTATAAAATATGAAGGACGAAAAAACTCATTTTGCGAAATGTGAGGGACTATGGATCGAATTATGTGAACTTTAATTTGATAATTTTGCCCCTTAAAAATAATCGCGTGCAAGGCACGTGGTAGATTCCGACTAAAAACTAGTCGGAACCTAGGTATGATGAATTTATAAGGGACGTAAAATTGCACTTTTAAAAGTGAGGGACGAAAAAAGTTATTTTATGAAATGTGAGTAATGTTTTAAATGATTTTTACTTATAATTTTAATATTTTTAGCTATGACAAAATATTCTTTTAGGTGGTCAGTGTCGCTAGTTTTCTTCGCGCCTTGTAAATTAGCACATGCACCGTCAGTTTCACTCCCATAATTAAGTAGGACAAATCATATTTTCCAACATTTTTTTTTAAAAAAAAATTCGAAACTCAACATTATTGTAGCCAGAAGTTGACAGATGGCAACAGTTCCTTGTTCTAGCCTAGGGCTACCATATCTTTTTGGTCTCCTATGCATGCTTTCAATGTGCATCACTTTAAACCACAATCTCAATGAGTTCGCGAAACAGAAACAGAAAGAAGGAAAGTCATATTCATCCAACCACTTGCGTGCAATGGACCCAGAGGAATTAATCCCAGTGTCTCCAACACCGCAAGAGCTGGCTTAGCAGGGGCCACCAATTCTTGGTCATGTTTCTGAGTTACTTGATAAGCGCGCGCGCGCGCACATATATATATATATATATATATATATATACTGTTTTCTTTTTGTGCCAAGAGCCAAAGAAAACTGGCATTCGTGAAGTTTTACTCCATTTCACCTATAAATAGTTGTACTACATTATTGTTTTTGGTCCATTGTACATTCAAAGGTTACGACTTTAACGCAATAAGTCCCGTCTCTATGGGATGCTTGAAGGGCAAATGAACTGCCACGATTCCTAGAAATCGTTTTCCAACTTAGAATGCACTTGACATGATTCAGTGCCACATGCCAATTGAACCAACCCCTTGATTATTTTTTCTAGCTTTTACTCTCCTTGTCAAAGTTTTGAGTCTTTATGGGTTTTCGTACTTCCATGTTGTTCTTTCTGCAACATCAACCTTAAGTACACAGATCACGTCTCACCAACTCTTTTTATTCTGGTATGGTTAAAAGGGCAAAAAGAAAGGAAAAAGCTTCTGCCATATATCAAATGAGAGAATTGAATCAATCATAAATAGACGAAAGAAGTACTATAAATAAAATTAACCTGAGGGTACGGGCACAAGCACAAGTTCTTGACCTTTATCCAATGAGAGTTTTAAACCTCTCTGCTCTATGAGTAGTTAATTGCCATCAATGATTAATCGAGAGAGTATTATTCTAGTAAAATTTTGTTTGTACAAAGTGTTGGGAATCATGTATACCGCACAAAGGTACACCAATGAGAGTTCGAAACTTGAGGTAATTAAACCAGAGTCATCCATGAGAACTGGCAAAGAGGTGCTTGTCTAGGTTTCATATCCATACCTCCGCACGCCAAGAATCGAAAGTTAACCTTGGTCCCGAAAAACAAAAAAAAACAATTGGTCAATAGTACTGTAGTAATAGGAGAGCAAACCACAAAGTGGGATATTCATATAGTGCTTAAATAAAAAAATGTTCAACTAATCGTCTTCCACATGTATCAGCTAACATTTACTTCATCGCCTTATTTGCAAGCCTGAAACCACCACGTTACTCCCTCCCACCGCCTTTCGAGTCCAAATCGTTTTTGACTTAAATGCAGTCTTTATGCCTTTCCTTTTTTTCTCTTTGGTTTTTAGAAGTAAGGTCCTTCTATTTGTTTTTCAAGATCATTAATGTGTATCAATCCATTTTGGCCGAATGTTGTTGTGCATGCGATCATGTTTCTTGCTTTATCGATGTAAACTTGAAAGGGACCTTGAGTTGTGGTCGGCCCAAACCCCAAAGATTATGGCCAAGTCTTCTAGAATTGGCAAAATGCGGTACTAAATTTGGTAGGAGTTACTAGTAATCTGCAATCGTTTTCTTCGTGATGGATACACTCTTAACGAGAAAGTCATCAGCTTCGACCAGCAATTGCAGCCCATTAAATAAGGGTTGAACGCCTCCTCGTAAAGACTCGGACGTTTCCATTCCAAATGCAGTTGAACAGTTGACGATTGCCGGCCACGAAATTAAAAAGTTTATTGTTTAGACTTCAAAAAGCAGTTCAAGAAGATTTTGTACAGAGCGTTCTTTCACTGGCATCTTTTACCTGCTGCGTAATCAATAATTGAACATTGGTATTATTGATCTCTCATCCGTCATGAGTAAACACAGCCACGAATGTGATGTGTACGTGTTTTGTCCAGTTATATAATAGTTAGCTAAGGTTAGATTCTTTTACTCTCACTCTCCCCTCCCTCCCTGTTTTTCTTTTAGGTCTATACTAATAATGTGATTCACTATTATGTACTACATCAAATGACTGTACATGATAAAAATGGCTATGTTGTAGTAGTATAGTATGTTCAGTGTCAGCTTATTTATTTATTCATTCTTGGTCATCATTCAATTATCACTTCAATTTTCTCATTTGACAAAGCAATATGTTAAAAGTCTCAGTCATGAGTCATAAAGCGAGTTAGCACGGGCTACATTTGTGGAAGAAGTTTAGAATAAAAGCAACAATTGATAAAGAATAATTGAGAATTCAAAACGTAAACATTTTACTTAATGGATTACCGACATATCCCAATTTTTTTTTTTTCTGTTACACACTAATATGTAACAACTAAATTATACCCTGTCATTTATTGACACATGTTCCTGGCAAGAGTTGAACGTAACTAAGAGTGGGTCCATTGTAATAATTTAAAGAGGACATGTATCAATTAATTAATTAGAGGGGAAAACCACAACAAATGGTCCATTGCATTTGAGCTTCGTAGTTTTTTAGTCCCTCATTTTAAAATAATAATGATGCATTTTGGTCCCTTTCGTCCCAGTTCTCATTTCTAACTACATTTTCACGTTAATTTAATTCTAATTTTGAACTAAATTGAACCAAAGCTAAATTTTTTTTTTTTTTTAAAAAGGCCATTCTTAAGGCGCCTCAATTCATTTTTTGAACACCTTAATTCATGTGTAATTTTTTTTTTTATCAGCAACGATACATTTGTATAACCTACTCTATCCTAATCTAGCGGAGGGGAGCCTAAGGAGGATGTGGTAGAAGACTAATAAATATACAAACTAAACTAGATCAAAAGAATACTATGACATAATTCTTAGATTATTTTCACTGCAAATGAGGTTTGAACCCTCACCTGCACCTGCAGCCCTACCGAGCCATTGGTTATGTTTCACGTGTAATTAGTGATCACCTTTTTCCGGTTATTCTCCAGACTTCTTCCGTATCCCTGATTGTTTTACCTTTTTACCTCGAACGTTCAATAAACCAAACGAAAGGGAAGAAAAATGCGCAGCCGTCGTTTGCTCTCGAATTGAATTTCTCCATCCACTGAAAAAAAAAAAAAATTTTAAAAAAAGCCACAAACAGTAAAAAGCACCATCACAACCGTTACATTTCAAATCACCGCGTTATCCTCTTCTCACTCGCGCCACTTCACAGTTCACTCCACATCGAGCGTTTCTCTAGCACACCGAGCTTCAGTAAAGGACGCGTGTCAGTTACGTTCCGAAGTCCGAGGGTGTCGA